CCATGTAACTATGAGTCCAAATAGTGTTTTACCTATTGAAATAACAAAAAAGTAAAAATTGTAAAAATTTAGCTATTGAAATGGGGTCTAGGGAATTGTCTTATTATTGTCAAGGTAAACACGGCATTGGCATTATGCATTTCGTAGTTCTTACTTTAAGTGTATTTGTAATTTGGCGACTTTCATTCTAACGTTTTCTACAACAACCTATCAGACGAATTCTGAAAATTACGCAAGTGCAAAAAATTGTTACCGCACTTCTCAATCCCACAAAATGTTTTGTGACGGAAAATCCTAATGGTTTAAGGCTTTGAATGCTCTTCCGAGTTAGGTGTGATTTCGATTTGAATATAGGACCGATGCGGTTTATCAAAAATTTTAACGTTAATGTGATTTAGTTGTAATCCGTTTATTTTATGTTTTCCACAAAATGATTTGGATTCTAGTAGAGATTTGTCAATGGTCTAGACGGTAACGTAACATTTTTCAGATCACACCAACCTCATCTAATGCTGATGTTAAGATGTAGCAATTAAGTAACATGCAGACAAATTAAAATTGAAATATAACGCTAAAGACAAATAATATGGTAGTTGGCAAACAAACCAAAAACAAACTTGGGAAATATAACGTGTGAAGCAAATGGACGTCAGAAAAATGACGTCAAAGAGATGATGTCAGCATTTAAATCAAAGTTGACTCAATCTTTGTAACGCTTTTCCATATATTCCAGATTCACAAACTTAAATGACATTTGTATGGTTATGATTTCCTAGGTCAACGATAAAGTGATGTGACCACAACTTGCATCAGTGTTATCAATTCTTTTTGTGAAAAAAAAAAAACTTTACCATCCATAACAATTTTTCAAAAAACCTTTACCATCCATAACACAGATGAATTGATTTTTTTTTTTGGTTGGTAAAGTTTATCGGAGACTCTACGCAAGGACGGCTCAAAAAAAGCCAAAAAATTTTTAGGTCCTGTGCAAAAATTGAATTTTTTTTTTAAAATGGTCTATATTTGCTAAAATATAAAATTTTGGACCCTTTTATATATAATTTTAATAATTTTTGGACCCTAAATTGCAATAAAAATTAACTAAAAAAAACAGGCTATATGCAGTTCACACTTTGCACACCCTCGGAACCTTCCCTGACTCTCCGAAACTTGGTTCTACGCAATCTCCGGAACTTGGCAATCAAGTTAAAGATTTCAATCAGATCAAAGAGGAGTTATGAATAAATCAATCTGTAATTAAGTATATGATCGTGTAGTTTAGGAAAGTAGATCATGAGCTTGTAATATAAATATGTATCGAAACATTCAACGAAATACACAGAAAACATTCTCTCATATTCTTCTTCTCTTTCACTCTGTTTCA